GTAGGCCCGCCCCCCCGCCCTGACCTCATCCCGGGTCCCCCAGCAGCAACCTCAGCCCTGACGCGCCAGGCTGGGCGTGTTACCCCATGGCCACCTCTCCCCAGTGCGCCCCACCCCTGCCCTGGACAACTGGCCCCAGCGTGCAGCCCCCCACACTGCTGTCCCCGAATCCTGCCCTAGACCTCCCCCCACATACTTCTGTGGGGCTCCCTTCGTGACCTCTGTCCCTGCACTAGAGACCCCCAGTCCCTGCACCGAGGGAGTCCTGGCTCCCAGCCCCACTGCTGCTCTAACCACTAGAAGGGGATTCACTCCAGGGTGCCTCCCCCAGTGACCCCCATCCCCACTCTCCTCCCTGCTGGGCTGAGAAGCGGGGCTCGCCTGCCTGTTCATTGTCCGGAGCCCGCAGCCGTTTCCTGGCTCCGCTCTGGGAGCCCAGACCCCCTCGACTCCACCCTCCCGGTCCCACCCTCTGGGGCTCAGGGACCCACGAGCCCTCGTGCCGTCCTTCCAGCAGCAGCGGCTGGCTCCCAGGGCCCCGAGGGCGAGGCCCATGCCCTCTGCGGGACGGACCATGACAAGGAGATCCTGAAGCTGAAAGCGGAGCTGGAGGAAAGCCAGCGCCTGGTGGCCTTGCAGCAGCAGTGTTTCCAGGTGAGCACTCTTGGAGCGGTCACACGTGGCCGCATCCCGTGGGGCGCTGGGGCCCGACCCACCCACCTGCAGCTGGGCCTGAGCCTCCAGTTCTGGAGTGTGACTCTCCGAGAGGATGGGGATCCGCAGGAGAGGAGCCACAAGCGGCTGGCAGGTGCAGCCAGACCAGCTCGGACTAGAAACCAGGGGGTGATGGTTAGCAGTGCGGAGACTAGGCCCCTGGCCCAGTTTGCCAGGGCTTCACCACAAAACAGGCTGCTCCCTGGGCCAGAGAGGTGCAACTAAACCCCGCCCTGTCTGCTGAAGGAAGGCTCTTCCCCCCCCTCCCCCCCCCGCCCCGGCCGGCAGGGCAAAGCAGCTGTCACATCCACCACGCTCTTGCTGCTGCTTCCTTCCCAGAATGTTGGGAATCACTAAACAAGGGCGCGTGAATAAGACCGAGCATCTTATTGCCGCTCTATGAATCCGAAGGGCGCCCACGGCTTGAATCCTGCGCGCAGACGCGGTCGCCTCATCTCCAGAAAGATCACTTGGCACTGGAAACGGTTCAGAAAAAGGGCCACACACAGGAGGAGGGGTTTGGAACGGCTGCCCTACGAGGAAAGATTTAAAAAACGGGGACATTTCAGCTTAGAAAAGAGGAGACTGGGAGGGGGTATGGTGGAGGGCTGTAATATCATGACCAATGTGGGGAAAGTGAATAAGGAAAAGTTATTTACTAGCTCCCATCCCATAAGAACTAGGCAACAGGCGCGGCCCGAGGCCGGCTGCAGCAGCTGGCGCCCTAGGTGGGGCGGCACAATCCGCGCCCCTGCCTGCAGGGCCGTCAATGGCCGTGACGTCATCACGGGGCGCCCAGGCCAGTGGTGCCCTAGGCAGCTGCCTAGCTCGCCTAGGCTCACGGGCCGCCCCTGGAACTAGGGGTCACCAAATGAAATGAATAGGTAGCAGGTTTAAAACAAAAGGCAGTATTTCTTCACACAACACGTGGTCCACCTGTGGAACTCCTCGCCAGAGGATGATGTGAAGGCCAAGAGGTTCCAAAAAGAACTAGATAAATGCATGGGGGGGTAGATCCATTAACATCTATTACCAAGGATGTTTGCCAGGGGCTGGGAATGGGCGACAGGGGTAGGATCACTTGATTCCCTGTACTGTTCATTCTCTCGGGGGCACTGGCCATTGACGGGAGACAGGACAGTCTGGCCGTTCTGATGTTCCCTCCTTGTCCAAGCTCCTTGCAGCTCTTGTTCCAGCACAGACAGACTCAGTACGTGGTCTCTGTCTCCCTCCGTTGGCTGGAGCGTGTATTGCAGCAGAAACTGCTGCTTTGACCCAAAAGTGGTGGGTTCGATCCCCCCTGCTAGCCACACTTCCAGGGAATGCTGCTGCTTCAGGCCCCTGGCTTCTCTCCTCCAGGAGCAACTGATCGCAGCTGCCAACAGCGAGCTGCCAGCCAACCTGAGGGGCTCTTACTTCCTGGAGGAGCAGCAGCGGCTGCAGGAGGAGCAGGAGGCGTTCCAGCAGCAGAAGCGAGCCTTCGAGGTGGAGCGCTGCAACTTCACGGAAGCCGCCATCCGCCTGGGCCATGAGGTGGGGGGTGGGCTGCTGTCCGGCCACTGCTCTGCTTCAATGCCAGGCTGCGGGGGCTCCCATGTCACCCTTCCCATGTCTTGTGTCTCTGGGTATGGCGCCCTAGCCTTTCCTTTCCTTTGCGTTGCGTGGCTGGACCCCGGCGCCCCTCCTGCGGGGCTGCAGGGTGGGAATTGCTCCCAGTTCAGCATTGTCCTTGTTAGGGAGCTTATCCTTTCACCCTCCCGCTTTCCTGGGCCTTCTCGCGAGCAGACAGCAGCCGCCCGAAGGCCAGAGGTGCGAACAAATTGACGTGGATTGGAGCTGGTCTCCAGCCCGCAGGGCTCCAGTCTCCTTTCCTTTCTCCCTCGGTTTTTCCTTGTATTTCCCCCTCCCTTCCTGTTTGGCCCAGTGTATATGGTCGCATTGCCCCCTATACCTTAACCATGCCACAGAAACGGCACTAGCCCTCCCTAGCCCATTGAAACACCATTATCTCGCCGGTTGTCTGCCACCCCTGCCTTGGCTTGTACCTAGCAATGTTGAATTGCACAGGCGGCAGAGACCATCAAAGAACCAGCCAGACAACCAACGGAGGGATGGGGAGCCGGTCAGCCAGGCAGAAAGCTCTCAGCCTCAGTTCCTACGACTGGCTCAGAATGGACCTGCCTGACGGGCTTGGCTTTGCTCTTCTATCCAGGCAGAATAGCTACCCCAAAGGCCACCCCCCTTAGCCCCTGGCAGGCCCAAGGGGAATGCTTGGAGTCTGGTGCATGGGAGCACCCCGCGAAGCTGTTGGGGTCTCCCATGGGGGTTTCAATGCGTGGGGGGAGGGGATTGAAGGAGCCGTCCCATAGGCCGTCCCCTGCCCGTGTCCAGCGTCCTGGTGCCTTATTTCTCCTCTTCCCCTCTCCTCCCACTAGAGGCAGCGGTTTGAGGAGGAACGAGCCCTGTTCTTGAAGCGGCATTTCCTGGTCACGATGGCCGGGCTGGAGCCCCCAGACCTCGGGCGGAGGCTGTCGGCCCCGCTTGCTGCCCGAGGTGAGAGGAGAACCCAGCTACGGGTCCAGCCTCCCCAAGGCATGCGTGTCCCCTCGGCAGGCTCCCAAAGGAGTGGCCTGCTCATGGCCTGGGGGCAGGAACTCTGCAGCTTTAGCAGCCTCCCAGCTCCCTCCCGTGGGCAGTGAGGGGGGGACGCACCATGGGTACGGTGTGAGCCCTGCGGCTTGCCCATGACTCAGCTGATGCCCTGCAGCTCTGCTTTCCAGAATGGCCTGTGAGTGAGCCCTGTGTTTCTGCAGGCCCCTTCTCACCTGTCCAGGCTGAGCCCCATGGCGACTTCTAACCTCCCTCCCTTTTCCTTCCTCCTGTGCTGCAGAACAGGAGTTGCTCCCCAAGCAAGTGAGATGGATCCAGCCCACCTACACCCCCTATCCGAAGGCCAAAACCCCAGCGATGCTGGTCAGAAGCAGGCACCTCTCCCCCCATCCTGGCACCCCCAGCACAGCGGAGCTGTTCCGGGTGCTGAAGCTCATCCCAGATCGCGGGTACGGGGTGGCGTGGGAAGGCGGTGCTCTGAGTGGCACGAGGGCATGCACAAAAGGCTGGCTGCGAGATGCCAGCGCAAGCCAGAATTGGAACCTGTGCCATGGGGCTGGGGAAGCAGCCACCAAGGACTTTAGATGGGTGGTGGAGGTGGGGATCTGGGAGGCTGGATGTGCAGGGAAGGGATAGAGCAGGGAGTTCATTAGCAAATACACCTGCCTCTAGCATTCCGATGTTAAGAGCAGCTGCCATGTTGCCTGACGGTGTCCCCATGTGTAAGGGAAAGAAAATGGACTCTGGAGCTAGTGGATCATGATTTTGAACCTCTCGCCCTGCTCTCCCTACAGATCCACGCAGCCCAGCCTGCAGAGTAATGACCAGAAGGAAAGCCACAAAGACACAGCCTGCCAGACAGAGAGCGAGGACTTCTGGCCCATGTGTGGTGATCTTCTGGACCATTTCTTAGACAGCTCCTTCTAGTCCCTTGCTGCTTTGACCTGGAAGAACCTGATCTCTGTGCTCCTTGAGCTGAATGATGCTTGCTTTGACCTAAGGCCCCTGTTCCCCCCAGTTCCTCAACTGATGGAAGAACGAGTCGGCTGCTCCATCTTTAACCACCAGTAGTAACATTTGTGAAGGGAGGGGTGTTCTCCCCCTCACCAGAAGAGCTAATCCACCCTGATAGTCCTGCTGATTCCTCTGGTCACTCCGTGGATGAGACCCTCTCCTGCCACAAGCTGGAAATTCCCCTCAGAGGAATCCCTGCAAGCTGATTTTATCCTCACTGGAGGTCTCAGATATATTTTTACTTTAACTGTCATGGTTTTAAATACTGGGCTGTTCCATGAAAGCTGATTGAACGCTGCTTGCTCTGTGCAAACTCCCACCCAGCCCGTTTGTGCAGGTTAAAGAGCAAGTCTTGATGAGCGGGGAAGGGCTTTGCCCTCTCTGTGCTCTTATCCCCCTCTGCTGGGGTTGCTGTTGTGGGTGCTGGCAGGGGTGCGTGTTTCTTAACTGCTTTTATATGTATTGTAATAAAGAGACATTGAAATGAGTAATTTGGTCATGTAAAGGGGGGGCGATGAAGTGGTTCAAGGCCAGCTTGGCTGAGGGGGTGCAGGAGGGCCAGGCAAGCCGGGCGCCCGGTGTGGAGTAGAGCGCGCTGTGCAAAGCAGGGCGGCTGGCGAGGGAAGAAGCTTTGTGCTGTGGTCACTGCTGGAGGCATCTGCCCTTGGACCCAGGGACTGACACCCTTCCCATCATGCACCGGGGCTTGTCCAGGTCCCATCATGCACCAAGCTGGTTGTCCTGTCAGGTAGTGAACTGCAGTGCAGTGAGGAGGCCTCAGGGATGCCCATGCCCCTCCTTCCCACAATGCACTGGGACAGCCAGACAGGGCCCCCCCATGGCTTTTTCCCACAATGCACTGGGGGTGCAGGGTGCCCATCTCTCTCCTTCCCACAATGCACTGGGACAGCCAGACAGGGCCCCCTTGGCTCTTTCCCACAATGCACCAGGGGGCTCATTCTACTCCTTCCCACAATGCACTGGGACAGCCAGACAGGGCCCCCTTGGCTCTTTCCCACAATGCACCAGGGGGCTCATTCTACTCCTTCCCACAATGCACTGGGACAGCCAGACAGGGCCCCCTTGGCTCTTTCCCACAATGCACCAGGGGGCTCATTCTACTCCTTCCCACAATGCACTGGGACAGCCAGACAGGGCCCCCTTGGCTCTTTCCCACAATGCACCAGGGGGCTCATTCTACTCCTTCCCACAATGCACTGGGACAGCCAGACAGGGCCCCCTTGGCTCTTTCCCACAATGCACCAGGGGGCTCATTCTACTCCTTCCCACAATGCACTGGGACAGCCAGACAGGGCCCCCTTGGCTCTTTCCCACAATGCACCAGGGGGCTCATTCTACTCCTTCCCACAATGCACTGGGACAGCCAGACAGGGCCCCCTTGGCTCTTTCCCACAATGCACCAGGGGGCTCATTCTACTCCTTCCCACAATGCACTGGGACAGCCAGACAGGGCCCCCTTGGCTCTTTCCCACAATGCACCAGGGGGCTCATTCTACTCCTTCCCACAATGCACTGGGACAGCCAGACAGGGCCCCCTTGGCTCTTTCCCACAATGCACCAGGGGGCTCATTCTACTCCTTCCCACAATGCACTGGGACAGCCAGACAGGGCCCCCTTGGCTCTTTCCCACAATGCACCGGGGTGCAGGGTGCCCATGTCTGCTTCCCACAATGCACTGTGGGAAGGGCACAATGCGGCGGGCCTTCTCCTTCCTGGGCCCGGCCCACAATGCACCGCGCGCGGGCCCGGCTTTGCGCGGGCCGGCCCACAATGCACCGCGCGCTGTGCGGGGAGGC